AGCTTCGAGTACAACCTGGCCGCCCTCTCCTCTTGGGTGGAGTTCACGCTGGAGAAGCTTCTCTTCCCAGGTCGGCCACCCTGCCCCTCCCTGGCGCCCACCCTCCTGCCTGCCGTCCCCCGGCTCTGCCTGGTAGTGCCGGCTGCACGTGGCTCGCCCGGGGCCCACCTGTCTGGTAGCAAAGCGCTGGTGACCCCCGCTTAGTTGGCGCATGCTGGCAGCGGAGGAGGGCTTTGACGCGGCATTAACCTCTTTGCGCTCAAAGCTTCTCGGTTTCGGCTCAGGGGTGGAGGGAGTGAACCCTGCGCTCTGACATGCCAGGCCGTCTTTGCCGTGTAGCGGGTCTTCAGCCCTTTTCTGCCTGTATCTTTCAAGCTGCTTTGGTGGTACAAAGAACGACGCTTCAGTTACATCTAGGCGTCTTCTTTTGGCCTGGAATGAAGTCAAAATTGGCAAAAGGTCTTGCTGTTTGCCCAGTCTAGGGGGCTTCCTTTTTTTAGGGAGAAGGGAAACATTCTCCTTCCCCGCTTCATAACAGCAGTGTGGGCAGCGGAGCTCCCCGTGTCCAGGCGAGCACCTCTGCTTGGCCGTGCTTTACGTCGGCTTTACCGTACACCGTAAAGCTGGGCTCTGCCTCGGCACCAGGTTCCCATTAGGGTGACCCGCTGCGAGGACATTCGGACTCCGTGTTGGGGGTGGCTCCGTGGCAGGGGACGCTATTTTAATCTATTTTTAGTGGCGGGTTGGCAGCGCATGGAACGTTGGCTTTGTTTTACACATTGTCGCACTTTGAGACGGGGGGGAAGCCACCCAGAGACTCAACCCCCTGTGACCCCCCCCGCACCGCGAGCGCGACCTGTGCGAACCTGTTGTGACCCGTCCTTATTCACTTGCAGAGCTGAAGCAGATCACCTGGCTGAGTACTGTAGGGTTGTTGATGGTGATCTTTGGGGATTGTCTGAGGAAAGCGGCCATGCTCACAGCTGGCTCCAACTTCAACCATATTGTTCAGAATGAGAAATCGGATACTCATACTTTGGTGACAAGTGGGGTGTATGGGTGGTTCCGGCACCCATCTTACGTGGGATGGTTTTACTGGAGTATTGGAACACAGGTATCGTATACAATGCGCTCAGATACTTTCATCTTATAACCCGGGTCTTTCTTCTTAATGCTCTTCCACACCCGTAACGGGATACAAACTGCTGGCAGTCAGTGGCAGGGGTGGCCCCAGTGCGTGTTTTGACGTCTCCTGGCTCCCACCGGCACACGGGGTTCAGGAAACCCCGAGCACTCTGCCCTGCACAGTTTTGGCAAGACCCTATCGCCTTAATTTTCTGTGTGGAATAAGCAGGGGCAGCACAGCCGGGGTTTGAGCTGGAACGCCCTTGGAGGCTCAGGGTGTGAGCCACTGCTACCCTAAAGCTGGTGTCCGGAGTTTCCTTGCATCCCTACGGCAAAATGCATTCTGTGAGCCGTTGGACTCAACCTTGCTCCTGCCAAACACCAGTCCTGTGCCAGATGGCAAAGAAAACTCCCTCTAAGAATGTCCAGGGCCCTGGCCAGAGGGCAAACTGGAAGCTAGCTGTAGTCGAGCTGTAACTCAGTGCTGTGTTAGTCACGCTCTTCTTGTGCGTGGCTGGTGTTGGCGTTTGGTTTTATTTCTCTGAAGAGAGACGGTGAAGTGTGTGTGTGGAGCAGCGTGGCCGTGCTCGGGCTCTCTAGAGCCATGGTGCCGCTCTTAGCTGGGGTGGCAGGAACCAGCAGCTGCCCGCGGGCTGCTTTCTTCAAAAGCGCTAATTTCTCCCCAGAATGAAATTCCACAAAAGGTGCTGGGATCTTTTCTTTCGAGAGTGTTTAGACCTCATGGCGACCTTAATAAAGGGTGATGAGCGTGTGGGGGCGGGGAGCAGCCTCGGTTCCTCTGGGAGGTGAGGGGACGCTAACCGCCAGTGTCTGTTCGCAGGTGTTGCTCTGCAATCCCATCTGCGTGGTGGGCTACGCGCTGGCGTCCTGGCGCTTCTTCAGGGAGCGGATCGAGGAGGAGGAGATCACGCTCATTCACTTCTTTGGAGAAGAGTACCTGGAATACAAAAGGAAGGTGCCATCGGGTCTCCCTTTTATTAAAGGAGTCAAAGTGGAACTGTAATGCGGGCCAACACCGGACTAGCTGAGCGAACGCCCGGCTCCAGGCGCCGCGGGGCGAGGGATGATGTGTGGTGCTGGGAGACGTCTGTTGGCATTTCCTGGCCGCCCAGGAGGAGCTGGTGAAGGGCTGCGGAGCTGGGCGCCCTGCCGAGTCACTAGCAGATCAGAAGCTCGTTCGTCCTCCTCAAGATAAGTCCTTCGTTGCACATTCAGGGATCTTCTAGATAACTTAGCCTGTAGCAACCCTGAAGAGAATCGAACCCTCCTGCCTGCAGCAGCTGAATTGTACTGGAACGCCTCTGGAACGATTCTTCCAGGGAACAGCTCTGCCCTCCCACTCCCGTGTGCAGGAAAGGTGCCGGTCAGCGGATTGTTTCTATGGCATAATTCGATTTTAAAGCTTTTTGACCTTGTGAGTCAGGCAGCACGGCTTTAATCTCTTTAGGCCTGATTCTGCAAGCTGGCACTGGGGCGGCTCACGGGAGCAGGCCTCCAGCTCTGCTCTCCAGGCGCAGGGGCTGCCTACCCACTGCTTGCCGGAGAGCCGGCAGCGTGGCACCAATCGGTTCTCCCGCGACTAACCTTCACAGGGAGCCTTCTCCACTTGCCTCGTGCTACTGGATCGCGAGCACCTCTGTGAAACGCAGCAGGAGAGAGAGCCCGCTCCCTCCTCCCTCAGCTGCTGCCATGAATTCGGGAGTCACTGTTTCAGCTGCCGCCTTCCTGAGCCTCCCCGCCAGCACCTCTGCTCCCGCTTCCAAATCACGCTGCTTCCTATCCTGCCAGGCTGCCTCCGTCCTGCAGAGATCCCAGGATTTTGGGCTGGGAAAGGACCCAGCTGCCGGGCTTGCTGAGGGCTTTAGCGCTCGAGATCCTTGCCTGCTTTTTTGGGCGAAACCTGGGATGTCGGCGTGACTAGGAGATGCTTCTAGGGAAATTCTCCAAACGGGCAAAAAGTTTGGCTAGCTAACGCTATTTTAAATGTTACCATTTTGGAAATGGTTCCTACTCGAGCTTTGTGGTATAACTTATTCTGTCGTTATATACCAAAGAGGTCACTGTTTTCTTGAGTTTTACAGTATTCTTCCTAGCTGGAATGAAACGAGTGGCTTGTCAGCTCACGCTTCGGGCTTGCGGTGTTCCTTGGTGAAGGTGCTGTGGTGTGGCTCAGGAAAGGGGGCACTGATGGAAATTGCTTTGGGTTTGGGTTTGTTTTCTTTTTTTATAAAAAAAAAACCAAGAAAAAAGTATTGTCAGCTTCTGTCTGGTTGTTTTTTGGAGATCTCTTGAGGCGCTGATGACACCATTGAAACTGGAATCCTCATGTGTACAATTCCCAGCGGGTTTTCAGTACACTGCAGCGTTGCATTGAAGCACGACCGGTGCTCGCGGTGACTCGCGGGGCTGCGCAGCTGCAGAGATGGGGCGAATTCTCCATCTTTCCTCGCTTAACTGATGCAGAGTCCTTCCTCTGTATGCCAGAGCGTGTTCTACACAGAGCATCAGCTTAACTGGTACTTTGCCTTTTACCGAGCGTGTTTTTAGCTTGGGACAAAAGCGCAAATGTGGAAATACACCAGCTGGAGAGCGCTGATTTCTCTGCATCATTACTCGTAGGCTTCTGCTCAGGCTTTTCTGTGCCTCCGACACCTGTCCTCAGGGAAGGCTGTTGTAGCCAACGTGTCTCAGGTGAGTTAATTTTTAACTAGTTCTTGTAGGCGTTAACATTTCTGCTGTGAACCTGCACGAGTGTACTTTGAAACAAACAAAGTGATTGTCGTTTGAGTGTGATGCGAGCTGACAACGGAAACTAAACTTTGTTCTCAGGTTGTTCTTTGCAGTAAACGCACCTCGATCCTATTTCGCGAGAGCGTGCCAGTGTTAGCTCTGACCCCGGTTCGGGCTGCGTTGTGGCAGGGTCTGCCCGAGGCGGGAGGTGTTGGCACCAAAACCAAGGGATAGACTTCACCTAGAGCAACATCTTCAGAGTGCTCTTGGTGCTTTTGAGACCAACAGCCTCTCTGAACCTTTTATTTTCCCAAATGCTGTGACTGGAAGCTCGTGAGGAGGCAGGAGCTCACCAGGTGCAGGGAAGGCGTCTGAATCTTTAGTGAAAAGCTGGCGTAAGCCGTCAAACCCTGCCCTCCTGTGCCACAGCAGTCCCCAAGCTTTTAAATGGCACAGATGCAGGAGGAGCAAAGCGCCTCTTTCCAGCACCCTGCCTGCGTTTTTGCCTCCGCTGCCTGTCAGGAGTTCGCAGGGCGCTCAGACGCTGCGGTGAGCTCCCAGCTCTGCCATACACCAGGCTTTTTTGGTTTGTTTTCCCCACGTTTGCAAATATTGTGGTTTTAAGGGCAGTTGGATGCTCCGAGCTGGCAGCCTGTTTTGTCCAGAGCCACAGAACAAAGCAGACACGTACGCTTGTGCCCTTTTATTTCAGTTCTAACACACGAGAGGGAGAGTATAAAGACAATTCTTTTTCAGGCGAACAAAGTTGCCCTAAGGCAGCTTTTTGATACGCTGCAGACACTGCCCGGGCGCTCTTTTCCTGCCTTCGCTCATGGCACAAGGCAAGAGGAGCCGGTCAACACCCGGGGCACAGCTTTTATGTGGCGACCGGCTCCGCACACTCGCTCGGTGTCGGGCTCTATGGTGCGAGCTCTTTCCGGACAGTGCTGTCGGCCCTGCTTTCCTGCTGTCCCCTGCAGCAGTCTTTGCTTTTCAGGGAGGGGTCTCCGGCAACACTGCCGGGCACACAGCTCTCCCTGGGGCTGGCCGGAGCCCCCTCCTTGCTGCCGGGCGAGGCGTCCCTGGGGAAGGGAAGGCACCTCGGCGGGGTCAGCGGCCGGGAAAGGGTGCGGGGGGAATTTGGCCGTCGCCTACCTTGGTGCTGCTTCGCTGTCGTCGCAGATCTTGAGCAGCATCTGTGCCTGTTCCTCCCTGGGCTCCCGGGGCTCCTGCAGCCTGTGGCGGGATGGGC